CACACACACACACATATATTAGAAGGTTATGCTATGAAAGTTTTTCAGGGTTGCGGCTCATAAATTGCTAAAACACAGCTTTTGTAAGAAATTTAGAAATAAAATTTCAATACTTGCTACTTTTGAAAATTAATTTTCAAGTGGACTTTTTGTCATTTTAAGCTATGGAACTTCAGTCTTTTTGGTACAGCGCAGGTTTGTTTTATCTTGCTCGAGTCTCCTCTTTTTTTGTTTTCATCAACATAATGTAATCATCAAATTGAGTTTCTTGGGTTATTTGTTGGGAAAAGGTTTTCTAATCATTTTTTGCACAATGAAGATAAAGGAACTTTTTTTTTATTTTAACAAAATGTCATATGTTTTTGATATCTCTGATTCTATTAACGATATTTTTTTCTTAAATTAAAATTGTTTAAGAAATATTCTTTATCCGTAACCCTAAACATAAAGGCTAGTATGTCTAATAATGCCCACCTTCCCCTTCTTAGGCTAGAAGTCTATATATTCAATCACTCTTGTAAATCAAAAAAACTTTTCATAAATCAACAACTTAATGGAAAATATTGAAGAATTTTAATAGAGCCCACTCCGCCATGCTCTTTTAAATTACTTGAACTGACTTGACTCATAAACTGCGGAATTTTGAGTTTCCTATTTTTTGTATTATTCTCTCATGTTATTTTTTTGTTATGTCATAGTTCTTTCCTTCTTGAGTTAGTTTATCTTTGATAAGTTGTAATGGTTGTAATTAAGTTTGTCCTAACAATAACATTGGTAAAATCACCTAATGAAAGCCACCTCAGGATACAACCACAAGAAAGGCAAAGCCAACCTTTAGGAAAAAAAAAACTCTCCAAAACTGCCTCCCAAAACTGCTACAAGTTTTTAATATAAGCTAAGACATTTCCTAGTTACATGTTTGCCATCCAAAGAAATAAAACTATAGAAAAACACATGACACAAAACAAAAGACTGAAATAAAACCCCGCAAGAACAATAGAGCAAAAAACTCTTCAAGCTCTAGCGGCATTCTCCTGGATTTGGAGAAGATTCAACTTGGGTCTCCAATTCCAACTCTGAGACATTGAAAATGGAGTCGTTTTGACATGGGAGCGTGGGGCGGGGTCTCTCGATCTTGTGGGTCTGGCAATCCCGTGATTGTAAGCTGCGTCATCCTGGGTCACGTGAGTGAGGCGGATCGAACCAATGCTACTCCTTTTAATTTTTTTTTCCAAATTTTAGCACGTTTCCTTTTATCTTTTCTTCATTTCTAGTCCTTTCATATATATATATATATATATATATATATATATATATATTGTATTAAAGTTTGGATTGCAGTTTTTGGGTGTTTTTTGTCTGGACAGTCGTCGTCGTCTATGTTTTTCTTTTCGAGGGTTATATCTGAGGGTTTGAGTGTTGCTCCGGTTGTATCTCGCTCCTGAGGTGGTGATTTTCTTCCTTATACCCTTTTGTATCCTCCCCACGTCGCTCCTGACAGCCCTCCGTTGTTGTAGCCCCCCTCAAACAGTAGTTTATTGTTATTTTTATTGTAGTTTTCCAATTCCAATCGTCTGTCCTCGTTGTCGCCACTCTGGATAGTCGTCTTCTTGCTGTCCTTCAGTCACCCACATCCTCAGCCACTACCGCCACACCTATTTGTTGTTAACCTTCAGTTCCAATTGTCCATCCACACATTTCTCTCATTTCAGCTTGTTGTTATTGCACAACTCCTCTCCTTCGTTTTCGTCGTCATCCTCTCTTGCTATCGCAATCCATAATAGCACCTCCCAGCCAATTCCCCGCTGTCCAGTCCCCTCTTTCTTGCTGCCCCCGTCGATGACAGCAACCACACTTGTCGTTCCTGCAGCTTCGCACTTCCCCCTCGCAGTTAGCCACACACCTTTGTTGCTGTCATGCCTTCCAGCCTTTCACCAACTCTTTGATCCTCTCCGGAGGATCAAACCTCTTGCCGATCACCTCCACCACCCTGAGATCCACCCTAGTTTGAGTGTTTGTGTCGGGTCTACTACTAATTCTATTCCATTTGTGAGATTGTATTTCCTTATTTTGAATTCAATAATAATATTTGTTTTCCTATTGTTGTTCGGATTAACACTGGTTTCACATTCTAATCGCCTGTCAAGTCATGATCGGTGATCCAAGCATGTGTCCTCCCTTACATTCACCGGATCAACACTATTCTGTAAATGTGCATCCTTCTCCGCCATTTGAGATTCATCACTATTGCATTTAAATTTCACTCGCTTACCATCTGATCTTGGTGCTGCCTCAAATACTTGGGCTTCAGCTCCTTGACAAGTAATAGTAAAAGCCAATGGCCCTGCATTCGTTCCTACATGAACTTGCTTATGATCACCATCAAATCTCTCTCTGGAATCTAGATTCTTTCTAGGCCTACGGTGAAGTGTCTCATTGTATCAATATCACCACCTCCAATTTTTTCATCCTTGGATAATTGAAATAGCAAGCGATTATTTGTGGAGTTCCTCCCACCATTGTCTCTGCACCTACATCAGTGTCTTGCCTCCAACAACGATCAAATTTAGTTTGATGTTGTGCGGCATGTATCATTGAATCATAACTAGCATTTTTATTCTTTGTAGGCTCAGGTAAATTTTTCCCTAAAAATTTGGTGATGATTAGGAGGACCCCGTAGCTACTTCCTTCAGGCCTTTCAAAAATAGTGAATAAGGAAAAGTGTTGGGTTCAGTCCCCGGTTGGATTTTCTCCCTCATTGGCTTCAAGGTGGTTTGAATTCTCTCTTTGATGAATGAATAACTGATTTTATATCCATCATGAATCATATAACGGTCATGCCAACCAAGTAAATATGACAAGCGTCCACAGGAATTACATCAAATAATATCTGTTTCTGAAATTCTGATCGATCGAAACTTAAACCAACATTGTCAGGTGAATTTAATTTCAGCTCCTTTCTTGAGCCCTGTGAGCTGGTATTATGGGAATAAGGTTGTGTAGTTAGCCGAAACTTCACCATATTTGTTGAAACCACATCACAACTTCTGTTGTCGATGATAAGGTTATAAACTTTGTCCCGAACCATGATTTGGGTTCTAAAGAGGTTGTGTCATAACCAATTTTTATTGGAAGACTATTCGACACTTACGAGTCGTCTTATCACAATTAATTCTCCTTAATCCGCATATATGCCTTGCTTCCTTGTTTGATTATTTTCTTCTTTTTTTACAACATCATCTTCCTCTTGTTTAGCTTCATCTACCATGGAAATGACGTGTCATTTTGAACAATTTGAGGCTATGTGGCCAAACCCATGACATTTTAAGCATTATCTATTGGGCTGAGTTCCTCCCAATTCAATGATAGCGGTTTTCCAAAGCTGGTCTGGTGTTGTTCGGCTATTGTTTTCA